CCCCATGTTTTGTTCTGTTCTGTTCTGTTCTGTTCATATTAGTTACCTGATTTACATAATTAGTTTTCAGCTTTTCCATCAATATCTCATGTACAAGTACTCTCAGCACACGGGAGTTCTTTCTAAGCTTTCTTTGATCTAACTGGGTGTGGAGGGACTGTGGTTTTAAATCTCGATCTTTGATCGTGCTGACGAAATGTTAGTCTCTAGACGAATTGCAGATTGTTACAATGCAAGTCTTTCCGTTGTCAGATTGTCAACATTTTCAAATACAGGTTGTCTGGTTTTGGAACAGTGATTTGCATATTTTAGAGCAGACTGGTAGCCTGAGTCCCGAGCGACGATAACAACACGCTAAAACGGAAAGGCTCATGGGTGGACACATGTTTGTAAAAAAAATGACACGCCTGTGGCTGTTTGCTATCGACTCTCTCATTTTATGTTGACAACCTCGCTTTCACATGTTGAGTTTGTAAGGTTAAATGTTAGGTTAGTATGCATATTTGAAATATATCATGCGCAGCCATTATAAATGTGTATATATATTAAATTTCTATTTCTGTCTATGCAAGTGAGTGGTTTCGGGAATGCAGCTTTATACATGTTGTTTCTTTCTAAACGAAAATCACGAATTGTTCGACTTACGAACATCGATTTAGGAAAACATAGTTACAAAAATGACGTATGACGCCCGTATTTTAGAAACCATTCACACTTTTGCGCAACCAGGCCCTAATTGTAACTCCATGTTAAGTTAACAGTTAACAGTCTTCTTGAAAATTATCTGTTCAATTGCTTTCATACTCAGTATGCAGCTAACTTAGGCAGACTTCTGATAGATTTGTTCATTTCATGACGATGACTTCAATACTTATTGCGAATACTTGTGTCATTTTGGGTAAAAAATTCCATTTTCATCTTTTTCTTAAAAACTACCAGCTCAATTGCTTTGATACTTTGAATGTAGGTACCTTTGGTTGAGATTTATTCATTTTCTGATTATATGTTCAATTCTTTTATTATTTTAGCGAATATGTTTTTAATTATTGTTGAAAACTACTAGCTCAATTGCTTTGATAATTGGTAAGAATTGCAATTATTATGGCAACAGCCATGGTTGTCGAAACTTAAGTAACCATGACAAATAGTTGTCATCTCATCGTACCAAACATTATCAACTTGAGGAAGACACTCTCAAAGACTTGCAGCAATAACAGAACTATTTTGACTGTTTGTATAAGTAAGATGCGACATATTGATTAATTGATATATATGGGCAGGATATTTTACAGAATAGCCTGAAGTATAAACTCCTTAGACAGTATTGTGATATATTATTATTCTCCGTTTGAACGCAGTCCGAAAACGTGGATGTATGAATT